GATTGCTTATAGGGGTTTTTTATATTATTAAATGAGATAATGTGTATAAAATCTTTAGTACATAAAGGGTATTTAATTTTTAGTCAAAAGCAAAACAAAAACAATTGAAAATAATTCTCAGTTACAATGTAGGAATTAAAAATAACTTTGTAAAAGTTTTTCTATAAAGATAAGCTTTGCTAAACAATTCACACTAAAATGTAGATTTTTATTGTAAAAACAGATAACTAGTAAGATGTGTATAAATATCCAAAGAGGGAAGGGGACCAGGGGGAGTAAGGGTGGGGAGTGGAGAATCATGCAGTCACAAAGTTTGGTGGATGGGGGGAGGTGAAGGAATTAAAGGGGGTACTAGTGGGTATAGATCAATTGTGATTAATTTTGTCACAATGTATGACACAATATATGGAAATAATCTTATGAAACTCAATGTGAATGGGGGAAAACCCCAATTTTTTAAAAAGTTTAAAAGATATTGTAGATTTTAACTCTGAAAGTCTAATGTTGTCTGAAAGATATTTTCTATACTAAAGTTAAGCATATAGAAGATATGTTAGAATAAATAAGAATATTCTTCTAGTTGCTCTTCAAAGCTAAGATTTTCTTCAGAGTTTTAAACCCACGATTTACCTTGAAGTTTTCTTGATTATGCTTGTTCTTGCATAAAGGTGAAGCTACCAACTTCTTCCCGTGTCATTAGGGAATTCTCAACTATTTAAAGCTTTCCCATTAGGTCTTTTATGTAAAAGAGAATTTTGACAGTCTAATGGGTAGAAAGAAAGCTGTACTGCTCACCTAATGGTGGCATCTCTCTACAAATCCAAGTCCACCAGCAGCTGCTTGAGAGAAGACGAGTAATCTCCTTCCATATAATTTACAAACTCTGAAAATGTGCTGGAGAGTTGTCTACCATTCATCTGCAATGAATTAGTTTATTTAGTTCAAAATAAAAGGGGTTTTTCAGGGTTGATAGTAATTCTCAGAAACGTAACACTTTTTCATTAAGTGCTGTAAACAAAGGTAACTGATTAATGTTTAAGATCGTATGTCATGTTGGCTGCCTATGATTCTCTTGTTTAATAGTGGTGCTATGGATGACGCTTTCATATTGTAGTGTACTCATTTCTTTGATGGCATTTGCTTTGAGCTGCCTGACAGTTAAGGCCTGTATCAAGCCGGTGTGATTTTTTGCTTTATCTCAATCCTGCAACTGGCTTGTCTTCTACCTGAGTTTTGAATTTGAGTTAGTGGCTTACCTTGTTTCCTGATGTTGTATTTGTCAATCTTTTTCTAATCACTAAACCTTTTCAGATAGCTCTTGATAGCTCACTTTAAAATTGCAAAATAGTACATTTAAATATTACTAAAAACAATATAGTAATATTTAACAAGCAACCTCCACTATTGGGTAACAGTATCCCATATATCTATAAAAATTATTACAGAAGTTCTTTAACATGTATCTTTTAACTTTGTGTTACTATTTGAGGAGAACGTATACTGTCCTGACCACCCTCCCATTTTCTAAACAAAGTTCATGATCACACATGCAGTTTGACACAGTGACTGTAATAGTGGGTTCAAGTGTGTTGGAGATAATTAGGAAGGCACAGGATAGGGCAGGGTTCAGATGAGTCATTCACAGGGTTTCTTTGATTCCTAGTTGGTCAATAACAACATGCCTAGGGGCCTCTGGTGGCCTAGTGAATTTCAATGTCATCCTACAAAGGTACTAGGTTTAAACCAGTTGCTATACCAAAGAAAGACTAGCAATCTCCTCCTGAATGATTAACACCCAGCTGGAGGGTCACATGTAAATTGTTTGCAACTCCAGAGGGCACATAGTAGCATTGGAATAACATACATAACAATGTGGTTCTGTGATCCCAACTTAATTTCTGCCTTCCCCTTTTAGCCAAAGAATCCTTGTCAGCATATAAAATCTCCATCACATTTCTCAGTATTACCTGATGCCTTTATGACATTTGACAGTCAGACTTTTGTATCATCAAAGTCCTTTTCTTCCTTTGCTTTTTCTAACACCACACCTCTTAGTTCCCCTCAAACACCTTTCCTGTATTCTTAACATTTTCACCAAGTCATTGACTCTCTTTCATTCAGCCTTACACAGAACTATTTTTTTTCTTTTTTCTTGTTTGTTTAGGAGGTATTGTCTTAAAACTGCAAAATGTCACATATGAGTTAAGTCTCTTAGGGGCCGCTCACTATCTAGCAATCATTATTCTGCCTTAGTTACATTTTTTTTCTTATTGTCTTTATTTTTTAAAAACATTCTATAAGAGGAAGAAAAGACAAAAATGGATGTCAGAAGATACTCTGAAAATTGCACTGGAGCGCAGAGAAGCCAAAGCACAAGGAAGAATTCAAGACACTAAAGAGTTGAATAGAAGATTTCAAAAGGCAGCACGGGATGACAAAGCAAAATATTACAATGAAATGTGCAAGGAGT